GGCGCTGCCTCCGTCCCCTCGGCGGCCGGGCAGGAGAGAGGGAGGGACGGGGGGTGGGGAGTGTCGCGCCGGGGGGCCCCCAACCGCGCGCCCGCCGCCCCGGCCGGCAGGTATATGGAGAGGAGCTCGCTGCTGCAGCTCATCCAGGAGCAGGTGAGCCAGACCCGGCGCGGCTTGCTTGGGCCCCCGGACAGGTGGGCACGGGGCCAGGGCTGGCGCGGCGGGCGGGCGGGCGATGGCCGGACCACGTGCGGGGCTCCCCAGCTCGGTGCCCTCCGCGTTGCTTAGGGATGGGCAGACGTGCCAGGGAGAGGGGGAAAAAGGGGGGGCTTGGAGGGTGTTTCTTTTCTCTGCAGGGCAGGGCGAGTTGGCCAGGGTGGCAAAGCAGACAGGTGCACGGGTTGGGGGGGAGAGGGAGGGGAAAGGGGGCACCCGGGCGGCAGCCCTGCATTGGCGCGGCTGGGGGAAGGGGGGGGGGAGAGCCGAGATATGGGGGTAGAGGACCTCCCGGGCCTGGCTCCGGAGCTCGGCGCTTGGCCAGATCGCCTCCCGATCTGCGTGCCACGGCCTTGCGGTGCGGAAGGAAGGCAGGGCTGCTGGAGATGGGAGTCTCCAGGAGGGACCTGGGGAAGCCCCCGGAATTGCAGCTCGTCTCCAGGCTACAGAGATCAGTTCCCCTGGGAGAACAGGGATGCTTTGGAGGGTGGGACTCTCTGGCATGGTGCCCCGCTGAGCCCCCCCAGGGTCCACCCTCAAATCTTCAGGTGCTTCCCGACCTGGAGGTGGCAACCCTACCACCCATCCTCCGCTGGTGCCGCTTTGGAGGCTCCTTGGCAAAAGTTGTCTTGGAGGAAGGAAGGTCGACGGCCGGTTGGCACGGCTGATGGGTTCCTGTTCTGGTACCCTAAGTTGACGGTTTCCCCAGTTCTCTGGGTAGCCTTAGGCCCGACAACCTCAGCTATACGTTTGGTTCTCGGATGACCCCCGTCTGTAAGGGATCTGGCTCTTGTTTCTGAATCGGAGACGCCGCCTGCCGTCTCACCAACCTCACAGGGTTGCTGTGATCACCCTCTGAGGAAGACTAAGGCGACAGAGAGCCACTGGCCCCCACCGAGTGAGTGAGCATCTTGCCAGTGTTGGGATTCGAACCCGGGCCTCCACGGGACTGGCCTGCGGGAAGGAAGAAGAAAGGCTCATGGAATACGGGGAGGGAACATTCAGTCACCCCCCAGAGCAATGCTCCCTCTAAGCTGTGGAGTCTTGTGAGCCAAAATCCTACTTTATGAGCTACCGGCATTAAAGCTGTGAGCGAGCCGTTTGGCTGCTGCATATATTAGTTTGCTCTGGAGCCCGTCCTTCCTGAGCGGAGACGAAAATCAGTGAGCCGGAGGCTAAAAAACTGTGAGCTGGCTCACACTCACTCTGCTTAGAGGGAACCCTGCCCCAGAGATGTCGGAGATGGCCTTTTGTGGAAAGCTTGAATTCTCACCCTTGGGAAGAGGTGGCATCCAACTTGGCGTCCTTCGAAGTGCAGAGATTGGGGCTTTTCTGCTTCTCCTAGTGACCGTTATCCCTAAAGTTCATAAGCTGTCTTTGGGGAGGGGGTATCAGCCTGCCGAGTGATGGCACATCCTGACAGGCTGATTGTCTCTGGAGCGCAGTGCTCAGATGACAACTCAGAATCCGCCCATTGCTGGTTCCCGTCACGGTTCCTTCCGAGTGTTGTGGTTCTGGGGTGTGACTCCAATTGGCAAGGGAAACCGAAAATACAACCGACGGTGTTTTCCTTCTCCTGCGGCGAGCGTCTGTTAAATAACGGGTGATCTCAGGCATCCTTCTGGGTCTACGAAAACAGCGCCAATCTGGAGGGTTTGGTGACGTGCCCGTCGGTTTTAGAGATTGAGCGGAGGGAAGGGGTGAAAGAGGCTAATGAGCGAGTGGCCAGAAATTCTTTTACTTGTCTGACAGCCCTGGCTAAAATATTTGGAGAATGTTTCAGGCAAAAGGGATGCGCGGCGTGAACTGGCTCACTCACTGGAGTCGCCTATAACCCCTTTTCCCACGACGTGCCACACTCTGCGGCAGGCTTTGGTTTGGATTGTTGCTGGTGGGCCAGAAATTCTTGTCGGACAGCCCTGGCTAAAATATTTGGAGAACGCTTCAGGCAAAAGGGATGGCCGTGTGGCACGGCGTGAATTGGCTCACTCACCGGAGTCGCCTACAACCCCTTTCCCTGCGATGTTTAACACTCTCTGTGGCAGGCTTTGGTCTGGATTGTGCTGGTGGATGAACCTGGTTGGTGGCCAGCATTGTTATGAGGTCCTTTTCCTGATAACAGTGGTACAAACAAGCACATCTGTGTGCATTTGTACGGGGTGTTTGCGGACTGTCTCACATAGGAGTGAAAAGAGGATCGGATGTCAGTTTCTGAACGTATTCACAGGCGGGATCCGACTGTGGATTTCAGTGCAGAAGCCTGCGTGGCTGGACATGCCTCTGTCCATCTCGTGTCTGTGCCCGTCCGTTACTCAGTGAGTTTGCGTGTCCGTGGCGGGGTCGAAGGCGCGGAAGGGAAGAGCAGCTGGCCACAGACGGGGAAGCTGACTAGCTTTATAATGTGCTGACCTAAATAATCCACATGAACGGCTTCTAGTATCCCCCAGCGGGCTTCCCAAGGGAGGGCGGAAAAGCAGCTGCTGGGAGTCGTGGGGCTTTAATTGTCACGCTGCTGGGATTTACCGCATATTAGGTGTATTACGGTAGCACCTGGAAGGCAAGAAGACACCCCCCCCAAGCATGTCAAGGCTAAGCATAGACTCTCAGATGTAGCTAAATGGGTTCTCAAGCCTTCAGTATTTCAGTCCAGTATATAGGTCCCATTGCTCTATCCATCGTGGGACACACCAGCTCATTTAGATCCAGCAGTCCAAAGCGGCCAACTAGAAACCTGGCAACTTTTCCCACCGGCGAACAGTGTGCCGGGAGAAGTTGCACCGGGTGAAATTCTCCCCCCAGCTTCACTGTCAAAGGAGCGCGGCCTTTTGCTTCAGACGGAGTCTCGTATGCTTGAGCGGGAAGGACGGCGGGAACAGAAATCGGCACTGCCACTCCAAACAAGGATCGCTTGCTTTATTTAGGGCTTTTGACGCCCATAGCAAGGATTCAACGGGGGGAATATGTGGCAGGAAGATGCGAAGGGGGGCACTGCTCGAACCCCATTGAACTGCGCAGCTAATAATAAGAAATTATTTATTCTAGTCTCTCTGTGTCTAAAGGTGGAAGCTGAAGAAATGACTTCTTTACACAGTGAGCGATTAAAATGTGGAATTTGCTGCCAGAGAATGTAGTGATGGCCACAGGAACAGACAGTTTTAAAAGGGGATTAGATGGATTCACGGAGGATGAGTCTATCAGTGGCTACTATTCATGGTGACTGAAGGGGACCTCCATGTTCAGAGGTACTAAACCTCTAAATCCCAGACCCAGGAGGCAGCATCAGGGAAGGCCTCGGCCGCTATGTCCAGTTGTTGGCCCCCCAGAGGAACTGGTTGGCCCTTGTGTGAGATGGGATGCTGGACTAGATTGACCACTGGGCTGATCCAGCAGGGCCCTTCTGATGTTCTTCTCAGGGGAAGGCCTCGGCCTCTATGCCCTGTTCTCAGCCCTCCAGAGGAACTGGTTGGCCCCTGTGTGAGACAGGGTGCTGGACTAGATGGACCCCTGGTCTGATCCAGCAGGGCTCTTCTTGTGTTTCTATCAGGGGAAAGCCTCGGCCTCTGCCCTGTTCTCGGCCCTCCAGAGGAACTGGTTGGCCACTGTGTGAGACAGGATGGTGGACCGGATGGACCCTCCCTGGCATGATCCAGCAGGGCTCTTCTGATGTTCTTATCAGGGGAAAGCCTCGGCCTCTCTGCCCTGTTTGTTGTTGACCCCCCCAGAGGGACTGCTCGGCCACTGTGTGAGATGGGATGTTCTTGTCAGAACTCAGAAGCTAAAGCGAACTCTGATGGGAGACTGCCAAGGAAGCCCTGGGTCCCTGCACAGAAGCAGGCAATGGCAAACCACCGCTGATCCTCTCTTGCCTGGGAACCCTACAGGATTGCCATAAACTGGCTGCATCTTGAGGGCCACTTCACACACACACATTGACACCCTGAACGTCTTGCATGAAAACCAGGATAATAATGTATGGAGAGATAAATCAGGGGAACAGTGTGAGTATGTGTGTGTGTGGGGGGAAGTGAGTTAACCCCGTACCCCCCCTTTGCCCCGTTTCTCCACAGGGTGTCCTGGGCACCTTTTCAAAGCTTGAGCCATATGTCAGGTGGCAATGCTCCCTCTAAGCTGTGGGGTCTTGGGAGCAAAAATTCTACTTTGTGAGCGACTGGCATGAAAGTTGCGAGTGAGCGATTTGGCTGCCGCATGAATTGGTTTGCTCTGGAGCCTCTGTTCCTGAGCGAAGACAAAAACGTGTGCGAGCCGGAGGCTAAAAAAACGGTGAGCTGGCTCACACTCACTCGGCTTAGAGGGAACACTGGTTGCAGCAACCTCCAACTTTCCCCGTGGAGTTCCTCAGGACCCCCCACCCCCTAGGAGCAACACGGACAGTGGAGGTGAGAAAGTCCCGTTCCGCTGATGAAAGATCTCTTCCGTTGGCCGAAGTTACAGATGGATCCAACTCAAGGGATCGCAGATCACCGAGCGTCATGTGCCGTTTTGGTCCGAGGTCTTTCCTCTGAGGGTCTGATCAGGCTTCCGGGCCTTAGTCTCTCAAAGACGACTGACGTTGTCTCCCGAATTCCCTCTCTTCAGGTGGGCAGCCATGTTTTTCTGAAGCAACAAAACAAGGTTGGAGTCCAGGGGCACCTTGAAGCCGAACCAACCTGAATTCTGGGTACAAACTTTTGTGCGCATACACACTATGTATCTATGTATCTCAGGGGTGGCCAAACTTGCTTAACGTAAGAGCCACACCAGATGTTTGAGAGTCGCAAGACGTGAACCGATATTACATGTTTCCAAGTGGTTAAGACGCTGAACTGCAGGCTGTGGAAGGTCGGTAGTTCAGCAGTTTGAGACCCGAGTGTGCCGCATGATGGAGTGAGCTCCCATCTCTAGTTCCAGCTCCTGCCAACCTAGCAGTTCGAAAGCAAGACATTGCAAGTAGATAAATAGGTACCACTTCAGTGGGAAGGTAACAGCGTTCTGTAGTGTTTAGTCATGCTGGCCACATGACCACGGAAACATCTTCGGACAGCGCTGGCTCTTCGGCTTTGAAACGGAGATGAGCACCGCAACCCTCGAGTCGGATTCGACTGGCTTTCGAGCAAGGGAAAACCTTTACCTTTTACCTATTGGAAAATATGCAGATTTGCTTTTTATTAACATGAAATGAGACTGCCAAAAATAATAACAGAAGGGGTAAAAGCAGGTATTAATAATGATAGTTATTTGGCCAGTGATATTTAGCTTCCCCAGCCGCCCTGCCGGGAGCCGCACAATAGGCATGAAAGACTCCCGACCCACAGTCTGGCCACCCCTGATGTATCTGAATAAGCGCGCATGCGCACGGAAGCTTATACCCAAAATTCAACTCGGTCAGGCTTAAAGGTCCCGCTGGACTCAAAACTTTGTTTCCTTTCTTGAAGTTCCCCTTTTTTAACCATCACACATGTCGCATTCACTAGCAACATTGGGGAGATCTTGGCGGTTGCCAGGTTGCAGTGGGAGACATGCGGGGCGATGTGGCGCTCCCCGTTCTGCCCTTCCATCGATCTCCCTGCCCACCCGTCTTGCTCTCCGGTTGCCGCAGAAAGTCGGATTCCCGAGGGCAAGGCAGCCCTCTCTGCGTGGTAACCTGGCAGTGCCCTGGTGAGCCATAGAGCATTCTGTAGGCTGAAAAGTGTTAACAGGAAGAGAAGGAACAGGATTGCTGCTGGCGAGACAGGGAGGTCCTGCCTTCCGAGATCAGGCCGTTCTGCTCAGTGGCAGAGCCTCTGCTTGGCATGCAGAAGGTCCCAGGTTCAATCCCCGGCATCTCCAGTTAGAAAGGACCAGGCAGGAGGTGATGAGAAAGACCTCCGCCTGAGACCCTGGAGAGTTGTGAAGAGGTGCTGTGGCTCAGTGGAAGAGCCTCTGCTTGGCATGCAGAAGGTCCCAGGTTCAATCCCCGGCATCTCCAATTGAAAGGACTAGGCAGGAGGTGATGGGAAAGACCTCAGCCTGAAACCCTGGAGAGCTGTGAAGAGGGGCTGTGGCTCAGTGGCAGAGCCTCTGCTTGGCATGCAGAAGGTCCCTGGTTCAAGCCCCGGCATCTCCAGTGGAAAGGACCAGGCGGCAGGTGATGTGAAAAGACCTTTACCTGAGACCTTGGAGAGCTGCTTCCAGTCTGAGCAGGCAATACTGACCTTGCTGGACTGAGGGTCTGATTAACTTCCTGACTGTTCGAGCGGTTCCTCAGTGGAACAGGCTTCCTCGGGAGGTGGTGGGCTCTCCTTCTTGGGAGGTCTTCAAGCAGAGGCTAGATGGCCGTTGGACAGCAATGCTGATTGTGTGAACTTGGGCAGATCATGAGAGAAGGAGGGCTGCATCAGTGCTCGCTCACAACTTTAATGCCAGTAGCTCACCAAGTAGAATTTTTGCTCACAAGACTTAGAGGGAGCATTGCTGGGGGCGTGTGACTGGCCCAAGGTCACCCAGCGAGTTTCCATGGTGCAACTGGGGATTCAAACCTGGGTCTCCCAGATACTAATCTGACACTCTTAACCACTACATCCCACTGGGTCTCAAAGGTTTGGGGAGGGGCCATGCCTCAGTGGTAGGGGAACTGCTCGGCATGCAGAAGGTCCCAGGTTCGATCCCTGGCATCTCCGACTAAAAGGATCTGGCATTAGGTGATGGGAAAGAGCGGCTGCCAGTCTGAGTGGACAATAGTGGCCTCGAGGGACCGAGGGCCTGATTGGGTATAAAGCAGCGTCATGTGCAATGTTCCCTCTAAGCCGTGGAGTCTTGTGAGCAAAAATTCTCCTTTGTGAGCGACTGGCATTAAAGTTGTGAGCCAGCCATTTGGCTGCTGCATAAATTAGTTTGCTCTGGAGCCCTTCCTTCCTGAGCTAAGACAAAAATGTGTGAGCCGGAGGCTAAAAAACTGTGAGCTAGCTCACACTCACTCAGCTTAGAGGGAACACTGGTCATGTGTAGACCCAAGAGATTGGAGTGGAGGCCCTCAGCCGTGTTGAGAACGTGGGTACTTTTGGAATGTTGAGAAAGGGTCGTGGGCGGGACCACAAAATGGCTGCCGTCGGAGGCGGGACCAGTCACAAAGTTCTTGTCGTTGGAGGGGGTAACATTGACAAAATATTGGGTAGTTTCAAGCCTACAGTGGCGGCAGGTCTTTCCAGTTGGGTGCTTCCTGAAGTCCCTGAGCCCACTGGATGACCTTCTGTGATGTCCCACTAGAGTTGTCAACCTCTGGGTGGGAACCAAAAATGAGAGATCACGGGAGGAAGTGGAATCCCAAGAACAACATCCGTGGCAAAAAAATAACGAAGAGTCCATGAAGATAAATTACAAAAACGTTTACTGTCGTAATTTCTGTAGACGTTTTTCTCCCGTTATCGCTCACACGCAAACGAACGCTGCGCAATGTAAACAGTCCGTTTCGCAATATTTGCTTTATCTGAGCGTCTAGCGATCTCAATTCTTATTGATGACGACTTATCGGCTCTTGAAGGAAACACTCCATGTTGAATCTCTAATAACGGAACCTGGACTCTTCGTTATTTTTGCCACGGATGTCGTTTTTGGAATTCAGCCTCCAGGTGGGGCCTGTATCTCAACTGATCTCCAAACGGAGACCAGTTCCCCCCACCAAAAACAGCTGCTTTGGAGGGTGGACTGGATGGCATCCTACCCTGCTCCAAACCCCGCCCTCCCCAAGCTCCACCCCCCAGATCTCCAGGAATTTCCCAGCCTGGAGATGGCAACTCTATGTTCCAGTAAGGTGGAGCAAAACCAGGACTGGCTATTTGCTTTGGGGCAGAGAGGAAGCCCGTGGGGCCCCCGGATTGGAAGTTGGGGGCCCCCGGATTGGAAGAATAAAAGAACACTCTGCCACTAGACAGCGCCCCCTACGGAGGCACTGGAGAAGTGGCGTCAGTTTCGTGGTATGGGCAGGGGACACCGTTCTGGGGCATGTTAACAGTCGCCTGTATCCTCAGCCTGTCTGGTTGTGTAAAGCGAGCGATTGTTCCTGGCTTGGGGTGAGCAAGTGCCCACATTTGCATACGTGCCCCCGTTCTTAACATTTACCTCTGGGCCTCGACCCCGCCTTCGGGAGTCTCTGCCACCAGAGAGATGAGGGATACCTGGAGATGTTTTTGCAAATGTGTTTCTCTTCTCCCGCCTGCCGGTTCCCGCAAGGACGTCGCCAGCTCGTCCTGCATTTATTTCCCCCGGGGGCCACGAAATGACAAAGACAATATGATGTGTTGAATAATTTTGTCTTACCGGCTGTGCCACACGCTCCAGACCCGGGGCACTGGCAGAGGCCCGGGCAGGCCTCTTCGATTTGCAGGGCGCTGCCAGCGTCGCCTTCTCCTGCCCTCCTTTCTCCTTGGTTTATTTTGGGTCCCTGCTTGCGGGGTTCTTTGCTTGTGTGTGTTTTTCTTTCAAACGCACGGGGGATAATTCCTCCCAGCTCGCCACCGGTTCGTTCTCCGTGGGTTGAAAAGGGTACGGAGCGAGGGAACCGGAGGCAGATCCTGCCGACGCGTGATCCGCTCGCGTGCCCGTGGATGGGTTTGTCACATTGATTAGCCGTGGGAGATGCCGTGCCCCCCCCCCGACGGCGCCACGTGCGTCTCCACGTCCCGAAGAAGGCGAGGAACTTTTTCAAGGTTGAAATTCTCTCTCGGCGTCGGAGTCCGTGTTGGCCTCCAGCACGAGGAAGCGCGGCTGATTTTAGAAAGGGAATGGGCCTCTCTGCGTAAGGACACTTTTCTTACCTTTGTCTGCATCTATACCCCAGCTTTCGCCTCCATGGGGACCCGAAGCAGCTGACACTGTTCTGTTCTCTGTTTTATCCTCACAAACAACTGTGCGAGGTAGGGTTAGGTGGAGAGCATGTGACTGGCCCAAGGTCACCCAGTAAGCTTCCGTGGCACAAGTGGGATTCGAACCCGGGTCTCCCCGATCCTAGTCCGACCCTAGAACCAGTTTGGTGTAGTGGTTAAGTGTGCGGACTCTAATCTGGGAGAACCGGGTTTGATTCCCCACTCCTCCACTTGCAGTTGCTGGATGACCTTGGGCAAGCCATAGTTTTGGCAAGAGCTGTCCTTGAAAAAGAGCAGTTTCTCTCAGAGCTCTCTCAGCCCCACCTGCCTCACAGGGTGTCTGTTGTGGGGAGGGGAAAGGAAAGGAGTTTGTAAGCCACTCTGAGACACCTTTGGGTAGTGAAGGGTGGGGCATAAATCCAATCTCCTCCTCCTCCTCCTCCT